AAGCATCCTTGATTGTAACAACTCGAGGTTTGAATTTGCTTAGCTTCTCAAATTATGTGCTCAGCATACAGACAGAATTTGCATGGTGGAAGGATAAAATTCTGATGTACACCTTCCTTGATTTTAAAGTACAATGTGTTCCCTTGTTCTGTTCAAATGAATGCTTCTTGATCTATGTACATGTTCCACATGTACACAATTAAGTGTTCTAGAATTCCCATTCTTGTCTAGATTACCATTAATTTATTATGAGCCATACAGTCAAATGCTTTCTTGTACTCAATAAAACACAAACATCTTTCTGGTATTCTCTGCTTTTATCAAGTTACATCAGTAATAATATCTCTCATTTCATGTCTTCCTCTGAAACTAGCTTGACTCCCTGGCATTCTCCTGTAGGAGTGTTGCTCCAGCCATTTTTTAATTATCATAAAAATAGCAAGATACTATCTTTAGTATGTGATATTTTTCAATAATTTCCACACTCTTTTGGATATTTTTTCTAATGGACATAACGACGGATATTATTTTTCCTAGTCTTAAAGTTCCCGGCATAGATTAAGTCCAGTGCCATATTCATTTGTTGGGGCACTTTAATTAATCTTCCAGGAATTCCTGGAGCCTGATTCTCAACAATGCCTTCATAGCAGCTCGGACTTCTTCATTCTTCATTCCTGAAATAATTTAGCGTTGAACAAGTTGTTTGTTTTTTTTTTTTGTTACGTACACACAAACATATACATGCAAGGATTACTACCAATTATTTTATAATTCAAAATATCCTCCTGGGAAATTACCAGATAACATTAGAAGGCTAAAAATGTTCAGAGTTTCAGTATAAAATAATGGAAAATTATAAATTAAATGATATAATTTACCAGATTCTTGTAGTTGAATGTTAAAGAGCTGTACTGTCAACCAAGAGGCATGCAGTTCAAATCCACCAACTACTGAGTAGGAGAAAGATGGACAATCTCCTCCCATGCAATTAGCTGACTCTAAAAACCTGCTGGAGGGTCAGGTAAAAGTTGAAGGTACACAACAGATAATAACATAAAATTTAGCACTACTTAAAAATCTACTATTATATTAAATTAGCAAAAATAAATTTGGGATGAAAATTTTATCATTTTTTTATATTCCACCATACATTTTAATGCTTTGATTTAAATAAGGAACATATAATAGCATCTAACAATTCTGAGCATACAATTGTGTTCTCAATAACCACTCTGAGATGTAGAAGTTACATCTGTATTCTGAAATTAAAACCTAAACTTCAGGGGGTTAAGTGGTTTGCCCAAGATCATACAATTAGATAAGCACTAATTGGTGGCATCGTAAATAATGTGTTGGACTGCTACGTGGAAGGTTGGCAGCTGGAATCCACCAGTTGCTTCTCAGAAGAAAAGGAAGATAATGCAGTCTCCTTCTGTAAAGATTTACAGCATTAAAAACCAGCCATGACTAGGAACTGACGAGATGGCAGGGCATATATTTGTTTTTTAACAACCTTTAACTGGATCATCTGACTTCCAATTATATCTTTAAAAGCAACTAATATCTAGTCATGAGTCCATGTCCAACTTCAACTTGCCTTTCCCTGAAGGGAAAGAAGACACTGTTCATGCAAGTCATATTCTGGTATATGTAAAAGTAGTATTTATGGTAGTGAATTAAGTTCTTACTGCTTTACTTTTTTTTTATAATGTCAAGTCTTACCCAGGGCATCTTAAACTCAATGCCGTCCAATCAGAAGTAACTCTACCTGACACTTTTTCCAGAAGTCACTGGTTTATCTGAGCTGCCAGAAGAAGAGCAGGCTTTGAGTTAGGAGCATGACTCCCTACAGACTAAGTAATCAGTGCTCCAATATGGGACACCAGGATATAAATGTATCACATATATGGTCAAGACAAACAAAAAATCCAAACAAAATCCACTTTTACCCATTCTGGCTCATAGCAACCCTACAGAGGAGAGGTGAACTGCTTCAGAGAGCTTCTTTAAATCATTATGAAGCAGAATGCCACATCTTTCTCCCAAAGAGAAGCTGGCTGGTTCAAACCAACAATCTTTGGGTTCACAACCAAGTGCTTTAACCACTGCACCATGCCTTGGCTATACAAGCATTAAAAAAATGATGGCCTGTCATCGGGTCAAATCACACCTGACCCAAACAGGTTTCTGAGACTATAAAAATTTATGGGAGGATAGGGCGCATTCTGAATAGCCTTTTGGTTAGCAAACAGAGCTCCATGCATATGGTAAATCCAGGCGACTCAACTGAACCTAAAAAAGTGCCAGGCTGGAGAATAAATATTTCTCAATATTTAATCTTTATGTGTAACTAAAATTCTGATTTAACGATGAACTTCCTTTAACCTCTTATTCAGTATAAGGGCTGGCTGAATTCATGACAAAAGAAAAGCCATACAGAGTTAATACTGTGCCTGAGGTTGTTACAGGTGGCTGAAGAGACAATCACAATTGCTTTACATGTGAGGATGCTTTTTCTTTCACAGTTTACAAAACCATTTAGAAAGTTGTAATATTTTAACCTTCCTATTTCAATCATATGTGGGTGACTGAAATATGAAGGTTAAAATATTACAACTATATAAACCATAAAAACATAACCATTTTGAAATACATGAAGAGTACTCTTACCACACAGGAGACACATTTTCAAAGTACGTTTTCTAATACTATGACAGCAATCATCAATGACAACGCTGCATAAATGAAATTCATTAAATAATTTTACAACTACCTTAAACAGGTCATTCACCTCAGCCTTACATTTTCGTGGACTAAGTGTGAAATGAGGTGATCTGAAGTATACAAACATATCTGCATAACAATTTTTATTATTATACACCAAGTTCAACAAATAAGCACACAGCCTATGAAAACGGTCTACATAAAATAACACAATAAGGCACATTTCCAATATGCTCAACTAATTATTGAACACTTTAAGAAAAACAATTAAGGAACAAAAGGGATAAAGTTCGCAGAGATTTTTAAAAAGCTTTCTCAAGCTATTTTCGTATCTGCGTGACTTAAGGTAACCAAAGCTCAGCCTCCACTGAGAGCAGAAAGCTCCCGAGATTTGAAATGTGCGAGAATCTCAGGTGCAGAGGCGGGCGCGCTGACATCACGCGCGAGGCTGGGGGACAACCGGCCCCGGCGAGGCCTGCGCGCGAACACGCCCAGCGGCCTCCTCCCCACCCCGCCGCCCCCCAACTCCGCTCCCGCAACACCGCCCACGCCCCGCGACCCGGCTGCCTAGCAACACTGCCAGACTGCCTAGCAACGCGGCCCGGCCCAAACCACAAGGGAAGGCCAAAGAGACCCCACTCTACCTCCTTTTTCTTCTGGCCGCCGCCGAGCTGAATGCAGAGGAGGAGCAGGAGGAGGAGGAAGGGAAAGCTGCCGGCCGGCAGGTACCGCAGCCGCCGTCCTGCTTGTCTCCGGCGTGAAGGAGCGCCCCTGGCCCCCATCGCCGCAGGGCAGTGTCTCCTCCACGCGCGGTAACCGTGCGCGCCCAGCTCCTACCGCTGTCCCGCCTCTGCCAGGCCCGCCAACACAGAGCTCCGTGGGTAGGCCTTTGGGGGCAGGTGCGACTTCAAGAAGAGGAACCTGGAGGGAGCAGCAGAGGACACGGAGGAGGAAACTGACAGAGCATCCGGTTCACAGGAAGAGGGTCCTGGAAAGGCGCGGAACTGGGCAGGAAGTGGGCGGAGCAAGGGAGGCCGGCTGTGTGAGTGCCACGCTCGCTGTGCTGAGGCTGGACTGTCCTCTGAGCTCCACCTCTACGTGAGCTTGGCTTCCTTGACTTGACTTAGAGTTCTTGGGAGAGTGCCATTGCTCGATAAGCAAGGCAAGCACAGGCTTGCCTGTGCTTATTTACTAGTCTTTGCTGAGCAATTTCATTTTTTCCTCTCCCATCACTTGTTCAGAACCCCACAGCACTTAACTTGACAAAATCAAAACCTCTTAAATCGTGCTTTTGTTCTCCTAAAAATAAATATTTGATTCTAAGAATATGCTAGAGAAACAAACAAACCTGCTGCCCTCGAGTCATGTCTGCCTTCTAGACCCTGAGAAACAAAGTAGAACTGGCTCACGGGTTTCCTTGTCCCTAATTATGGAACCAGATGGCCACATCTTTCTCCTGTTTCTGTTAGTAGCAGAGCTCTCAACCACTGCACTACTCCCGTACTGATTGCCCATGGGTCCAAGTTATTCTTACAAGGTTGATGGAAACCAAAGTGATTCCATTTTGTCAACCTTCTAACTTTACTGTGCTCCAGGAAAGAGTAAATAACCTGATTAATGTTCACCTTAAGACACAAGTTTTATTATTCACCCTAGGAGATAACTGATAACCAAAACCGGGAGTGGTGGAAAATGGCCCCAGGTCCTTGAAGCTACTGTGAAACTACCCACAAAGGGCCAACAGAGATTGGATAAATATCCAACTCTTCTTGTATGGAGGTGATGCTGCTTCTGTCTGCTTTTATCAACGTGTGTGTTTCAAATGAAGCTTATTTGCTATAAACTTAGTGTTTCTTCTGGACTTCATAGCCAGTTTCAACCTTTCCATTTTAACACTCTGGGGTTTTAAAAAACATTTTCAACTGGGTTTTGACGCATGTTGTGTGCCCTCCACTGTACCTGTGAACAATATCTCTGAATCCTGCCCTATCCTGAGCTAATCTTACACCTACTCCTATTGCCAGAGTCATTGCATCAACTCATCTCAGAGTTTTCCTCTCCTGCACCAATCCTCTGCTCTTCTTACATGGCCTACTACAAGGCTTCGTCCCTCCTGACAACATGCCCAAAGTGTGTCAGAGTTTCAAAATCCTTGCCTCCCTAGGAGCAACAGTGTTTCACCCTCTCTAGGACAGACCTGTTTGTTCTTTGGGGCATGCATGGTGTATATTCAATACTGTTCAGTCATCTTTGATAATTGTCCGGCTCTCAGATGCATAGCAAGCAATTGAGAAGACCATGGTCTGGTTCAGTGTGTACACTGACATCATTGCTCTTTACCACTCTGGACCAATCCTGACGGCAGACTTTACTAAAGCAACTTGTCTTTTGATTTCTTGACTACTGGTGCCAAGAATGTTGATTGTAGGTCAGAGCAAGATGAAACTGATAATAACCTCAATCTTTTCGCCATCTGTCATAATGCTGTAGGTTGGCCTGGTGATTGGGATCTTTGTTTTCTTAACATTAAGATGCAATCCATATTGAAGTCCTTGACCTTCTGCAGCAAATGCTTCAAGTCCTCTTCAGTTTCAGCAAACAAGGTTGTGTCATCTGCATAACAGATTGTTCATGAATCTTCCTCCAATCCTGATGCCACATTCTTCCTCATAGAGCCCAGCTTCCCAGATAATCTGTCCTGCATATAGATTGAAAGGTATGGAGAGAGGATGTATCCCTGACACACACCTTTCCTGATCCTGAACCATACAGTGTTTCCTTGCTCGGTTCTGACTACTGCTTCCTGGTCCAAGTATAGATTTCACATGAGCACAATTAAAAGTTCTGGGATCCCCCTTTGCATAATCAGTACTCTAGTACTCTCTGCTTTTGACCAGGATCCATCTAACGTTGGCTCTGAGCAGCAACCAATAAATGTTACAGAATCTAACTTCCCAAAAGAGTTCCAAGGCTATAATCGTCAGATTTTTTTCTTTTCCTTCCCAGATTTCTTTTTTCCTGTGGTTTCTTAACTGCCAACCTTTCCATTAGCAGTGAAGCTCTTTAGTCACTGTGGCATCAGCACCTGAATCTTTAGAAAGATTCATTTGACTCCATAAGGAGCTCTGGTGGCATAATGAGTTAATTACTGGACTGCTAACTGGTAACTTCAAATCACTCAAAAAGACAGTCTCCTTCCCATGGAGATTTACAGCCTGAGAGTGTTGCCATGAGATAAATACATTGGAGAGCAGTGAAGAGTTTTGTTGTAGTTACCTTCTTAGAAAATAGAGAAAACTTGGGAGTAAGTAAAAATCTGGCCCCTCTGAATGCCTAGTTCCTTTTGGAATCTTTTCAATGGCACAGTTCTCTGTCTAAAAGACTCTCATGGCTAGTGTATATGGTGGATTGTTAATCTGGAGGTCAATGGTTTACATCACCAGCCAAAAATCAATGATAATAAAATCCTATTATTAAAAAGAAAATAAAAAATATACATTTTATATGTTAAAAATATTTGAATTATGAACTCCTGGAAAATTAAAATATCAACATACAAATATCAACAGAATATAAACATCCAACTTCTCAATGTGGTTATGACTGAGCAGACGGCACACAATTGTAGGATTATTTGTCAAGCTAAGTGCTATGAGCTCAGGTTGTAGAAAAATTCTGACATCACTTAATGGTTCAGCAGCATATCTAGCATCAGTTCTGATAACTATGGTAATTTTACAATAAAAGACATTATAAGCAGTACTTCAAGATATTTACAGCTGTGCAGGCATAAAGCTTGTAGGTTTGGTTCCAGACCACTACAACAAAACAAATATTATAATTAAACAAGTCAAACAAATGATTTTGTCTCTCAGTACATATATTTGCAAATCAAGTTCCTTGAACTGATGTAGATTAGTGGAACCACTAGAACTATGGCCCTTACCATTCTTTAATCCTACAACTGAAATCAACTCCATGACATAATTTTCAAACAATAGACAGACCTATAAGGTGATAACACCAGAGAAGAAAGATGATCTGCATGAGATCAAAAGGCCAGCATTTGTCAAGAGATAAAGCATTTAAGGCAGGAAGTTAAGAAAGAAGGGTTAATAAAAATGAGAAACAAAGGGGAATTTGAAACAGTGCTGTTCACAATGTGGCGCACTGTAATCAATGTCTTAGACAAAATGTTTATGAATTGTTGAATGAAAAATTTGCTTTGTAGACTTTCACTCAAATCAATAAAATTATACTAAAAAATTATGGTTGTACTGTGTTGTAGTCTACTAAGGGAACAATAGAATTATGTCTGAAAAACAATGTAAACAATGTACACTCTTTAATTAAAATATGTTTCATTGCCAAATTAGTAAGTCGTATTGTTTTAGCTGATGGAGAGTCTTCCTTTAATATTTCTGACTAATAAGCTTGTAGTACAGGGTTAACTCCCCTTCCATAGTCAATAAAACACAACATAATTCTGCTGTCTCTGCTTTCAGCTAAGATACATTTTATTTCAGTGGTGATATCCCATGTTATACCACTTTGAACAGAACATGGACTGCTTGAATTTTGGCAGTTCCGTGTTCAATGTACTACTTAAGCTGTTTTGTTCTTTGTCTTTTGCCATTGTTTGACTTTGCCATGTCGTGGGCAAGATAATGTGAATAGGGAATGGTAACCATCCACAAGGGGATTTGCTACCAACCCACATGGAGTTTTGGTTAGTCTTACCAGTCCACAAAGGGATTGTCTAGCCTCACAATTAAATGGAGCAACCCAGGAGCAGAAGTGACCACCCTGCCACCAATGAAGAAGAGAAGAAACCTCACCAACAGGGGATGCAGAACCGACAACCATAGCAGCCACAGAGAGAAACAGACCTGATGAAAGATGAAACATCAGGACTGTTATATCGTTAGAACCAGAGCTAAGAGCCTTTGCCCAAGTGGAGGGTGGAGAGCCAATATTTGCGGGACTGAAAACTTAATAACCCAGGTCTAAAGCAGTGGTGAGGTTCAAGACCGAGTTGGCTGTGTGTGCATTTCTGAAACTGTCCTGACTTGTATTCTGCTACTAATCAGCATTGTAACCTTTTGGTTTCCCCAACATCATTCTGGGTGCTCTGTGAGTTATTGCATCAGATTTTGACCCATCAATGCAGTAAAATTGGCATTGACATTAGTAGAAAGAAGTACAAGAGCATAGGGGACATATACGGCCTTATAGATACTAGTTTTATGTTGCTGATACTATTGGCAGGAACAGTTCCCCCATTGAGAAGTCAGTAACGGTCAGACATGGCTGTCCTCAAACAGCCTTTGATCTTTTTACAGCACCAAAGGTGGCTAGCACAAGTGCTTACCTACTAGGCCATCAGAGTTAGTTTAGTAAAATATGTAAAAGAGTTGTTAGGTGTTGTTGTTAAGTGCCATTGAGTCGTAGGCGACTCATAGCGACCCTATGAAAGAAAGTCCTCAACACTTGAGTGACTTTCATTCTTTCTCCAGGATCATAAGGTTTCCAGAGGAAAGCTATTATGGAAGTGGATGCCACTCCTGCTTCCGCGCTTGTTTTAATTAAATTCTATTTAATTTAATTAAGTGTAAAGGAGTAATGTTCAATAATACTTGAGATCATGGAGTTTTTGGGCAATGGTAATGTCCAATAGGGTAGCTACTTGGTATATGTAAACATAATTCCTTGAAATTTGGTACATAGCAAAAGAGTGAAATAATCACACGGCAGGGTTCAGAGCGTAGGGTCACTAAGAGTCACAGGTGACTCAACAGCCCATAACAACAACTATATTCTGAAGTACAGTCTTTTGAGTGATAGGATACTATCCACATACATATAAGGACATATAAATTGACGTTTTTACTAAACCTTACAGTCTAAAAAGTGAACAAATATGCAATCAAGATGCATTAATGATAATCAGTGACTGGAAGGTAAAAGTTGAAAACCATGAAGAAGGAAGGATAGTAAAAAATGAGATACTTGGTGACAAATTAAGCTGGAATCTAATGATCAAATTTTGTACAT